GCACCATCACCCCTGCTAGATAGGGACCCATACAGGGTACAAATCATGCTAACGTGTACTGTCGTCAACCACAGTGTTCAAAAATCCGAAACTCCCTCAAAATAATGTTTTCCAGATTTAACAAAACAGTTAACTGAATAATTCCATGTACTGATATAAAACTGAATCAAATATAAATAACAGACAAGTTTCCAAAACAATTTTAGAAATTACATGCATGTCCCTTGTCATATAATTTAACAAAAATTTAATCATATTTGCAGAAAATCTAGTAAATAATTAAAAACATATTTAATTTAAATATGGAAAGCAGAACAGCTCATAAATACACATTATTACTCACAGAACGATGAAATCGGGAAATCCAACACCCGACGACACAGCTCAACCAGATTCGTGCGATCAATCTAGAATCAGGAAATAATAGTATAGCTAAATTGATATTTCTAATAATAATAATTTAAATTCAAAAGTAAACAAATTTCTAGGTTTTTTTTTGTGCTCGAGCCCCTTACTATAATCATTTAAGAGAGTGAACCAGCCATGAACCGGACTTATTTCCATCAAAACCAATAATACTTTAATTTCCAGAATATTAAACCTACTTAGAACTAATTTAAAAGTACTAAACCGGCCCAAGAGAGCACTGAACCGGCCTCCAGAATATTGAACCGCCAAAAATTATGTGAACCGGCCTGGTTTCTGTTGAACCGGCTGGTTCTATATTTTAAAAAAAAAATCACTGAATTGGGCTTAAATTTTGTACAAAAATAATGAATTGAACTATAAACAATAAATTATTTAATCATTAATTTTTCCTAACCTTGAACGGCGAAAAACCGATTTACACTTAGGTGAACCGGTCAATTTTCCATTTATTCCTCTTATATATATATATATATATATATTCTAGACCTTGGGCTTCGGCTGATACCCAGCCCAATGGAACCCAGCAGTCCATGGAGAACAAGGCTGGCCCGTTTGCGGCCCAGAAGCTCACAGGCCCACCCAATGGGCCTAACCCAAAAACAGAGCCCAAACCCATTGCCAGACTCGGAACCTTTCCGGGTTTTTCTTTTTAACCCAACAAAAATCGTAAATCAAAAGGAAGGATAAAACGACTTACCTAAAGTTTTTCCTAGAAATCAAATTGGCTGGTGTCCGTTGGAATTGCTGGGCGACGGTGGCCGGTTGAGTAGATCGGTCGGCCGCTACTGGATTTGATCCCGATCTTGAACAACCTGGTTTGTCCACCGAATCTAAAAACTCAGAGATTTCTGAGTTTTTGGGAGAAATTAGTAGATATTGGTTGAGTGGTTTTGCTTTGCCACTGCCCTCGCTTTGATTTTTATACAAAATTTGAGCAAATCTCAGATGATTTGCTCGGATTCTTGGTTTCCAAATCCACGGACAATCCAATGGATCCGAATCTGGAAAATATTTGTTTTCTTGCAAATCAATCCCCGGACTTCCAGATTTATTTCGATTTAACCTGTACTATTTTTTGATTTGTTAAATTTTGGCCTATAGTTAAAAGAATTTTATAAATACCCCTAAATTAGGGGTATTACAAGAGTTATATTGAAGAATAATATTAATTAATAAAACATAACATTTTCTATAAAAAAATAAATAATATATTATTGGTAATTAAATAAAATTAAAAAGAATATCTAATTTTGCTATATATGATAACTGTATATTGGAAGAAATAAGGCAATTGAACATGCATAAGTTAAAAAAAATTTTAGAAAGTAGCGTTATACTAGGTCATTTATCATTTATTGGTACCCAATAGACAGTTATAAATTTAAATAAAAATAAAGGGTTAAGAGTGTGTTTAATTTTCTAAAAGGAGTCTTTAATCATGATTATTTTCGTTCTTACGATCTGAAAGTCAATTGGGAGTTTATGGATTGTATAAAACTATAGGAAAAAAGCAAATGAAATGGATAAGTTATCATTGCATTTTACTTTTAAGTGTCTAACAACCTTTATAAATAACTACTTTTGAGGGAGGTGCACATATATATTATTTATTTTTCATAAAAAATATTACGTTTTACTAATTAATATTATTCTTCAATATAACTTTTAAATTGTAAGTGTTAAAATTTTTAATTTGTGGAAATAATTTTTAATTATTTGAACTTGGTTTTAATTAGTTTTGTCAAAAACTAAAATAAAAATTAAAATAAAATCTTCAATATAAACTCTCTCTTAAATTGAACAGAACTGATTTTAGAAGGGAGAATAACTTGACAATTATGAAATCAATTATTAATTTTTGATTGTTGATTTAATAATATTTGAGATTATTAAAATTTGTTATATAAAAAGTTATTATGTATTTAATAGTAAATAAATAAATCAAGTTTTAAATATAATATAAATTAAACTTTAAATGTGATTGATTTTATATCTTATTTGTGTACATGTTATAATGTACAAAATGAATATATTAGTCTTTATACATATAATTTAAATATTTTGACAAAAAATATTATCGAATATTTACTAAAAAGATGAAATTACTAAATATAAAAACTACAATGATAATTTTGTAAATGAGTTTAAACTTGAGGGATGAAAATAAATTTATCTCTATTATTATAAACTATATAATGATCGCTGTTAGAACTTTTATTAAAATATTGATAAATATTAAATTTAGTTAATATCTAATTTTTAGAAAAAATTTTACTAAAATTTTAAAAAAACTCTCAGATATAGATAATTATTTATTTATTGACGAGGCTAACCAGTGTCAGTAATAACAACCTTGACTACGGTCACGATTCTTGAAATCGGTCGTTGCAAGAATGTTTATTACATGTCTTCCCCGTTCTTCTTTTCCAACCATTACCTGCTATAATTGGGATAATCAGATGTGAAGGGCTGCAGCAAATAAGTCGCTTGCGCCTCTATGACTTCTAACTGGCCTTTCAAGAGGTGCATGTACACAACCCAGTCACCGTTGCCCAAAGGACTAGGCATTGGCATGACGTACCCGGCCTGCCCACCCCACGGAAAATGGTAAGACCCGAATGCTGGCTCGCCCCACCCGAAATCCACCTTCGACGCCGGGAACCGCAGCCAGAAGACACCACGAAGGCCGGTCCCATCGTCCTCACCCCCACCGGTGGCATATATCTTGGCCAGCACCGGTGTGGGCCGGTGAGCCTCTACGTAGTCTATCAAGTCCAGGAAGTGCTCCTTAGTCACCGCTGCTTGCAGAAAGTCGTGGACCGTCTCAGCCACCCAACTCAGCGGCCTCTCCATCAGCTCTCCGGCTCTCTCCTTTCCAAAAGGAATGGACAAAACGTTTCCAAAGTAAGAACTCATGGAGCTAATATCTCTGTCGCTCAATCTCATCCTTCCGTCTACAACAATACCCATCGTACAGACCCTGTTTCTTTCAACTTCCGTGGAAGCTACCATCTTCCACAACAAGGCACTAAAGGCCTCAAGCTTCGTCCTCCTCTTGCCCATGTGACCGCCACTGGCCCGCGACTGGAGACAAGACAGTTGATCTGACTTGATGTAGTAGATCCGGCTGATCAGCTGATTGTTTTGGAGATTTACAAGTTTGGGAGGTGGGATTAAAGAGACAGGCACATACATGTGGTGAAGGGAAGGATGGTAAGATCCAGGGCGTCGCGGACTAAGCAAGGAGCGGCGGAATGAAGGAAGAGGGAAACTGGGTCGGATTGATAAGCCACGTGAGCCCAGGAGACGAGAAACATGTTGGCCGAGTAGGCGTCGGCCACCCTATGGTCAAAGGCGCAGGCAACTACAAGTCCTCCGCATCTCAGCTCCGTCGCCTGTGAGAAAAAAGGGGAAAATGGTTACGACATCATCAAACAGAACAATGGATACCAATATTGGATACCACACAACAATCAAATTATCAGATGTAAATGATAGCAACACGAGTGTTTGAAGTTTGGTTTAAATATATTTAAATCCTAATTTCGTCGATTCATTTATATCATGATTATAATCGTGTTGTATTTCGGGTTAAATAATTAAATTTAATTAAAAGTCAATTATAAACACAAGTTAATCTACTAACGTGGTTAATTTTGTGTCATCATGTACGTGACCATGCTAAAGCCAGGGGCATCGGAGTGCTCTGTTCCTAAAACAGGACACCTGGTTGCTGTGAACGAGGGCTAGTATTCAGCTAAGAAAACGAACTGCGCTAGAGCAGAAGTAATTATACAGTTGGCTGCATTAGTAATTGTCTGCGCAAGAATTTGGCCAACTCTTGATCTGCAATGCGGATTTTGACAAGAGAATAGAGCACTCCTACCGAAACTTCATCTCATTTCTTCAGTTCTCTGTTTTCTACTATACCTTACTCTGTTTTCATAGCTACTCAATAACTAGATTAGTGCGAGAGAGAGAGTGAAGAAAGTGTTTGGTAGAACGCAGAGTTAGCGACAGCGTAAGTCTCTAACTACGCACGTACGAAAGTGTTCATATATCAACTATGTACAGATCGCGACCATCCACAACAGGACTCCTGATTTTTAGCAGTCCCGATGGGTTGGAATTCGCCCATCGTCCCAATCCAAATACATCCAAAACGTTGACGTTAGTCACGTGGGTACAAGTCCGAACAGCTTATGATTCATGACATAAAATGTTCCTTGATCTTTTCTATTTCTATTTTTTGTTTCCTCTAACGGTTGAAAATATATATGGCTCAATTTGCCCCTCATCAAAAAAAAGATTGACGAACAGATCATTACGAGACCTCTCCTAGAATGTTTTTTGTAGATTTCGAAAATTCCATGGTGGATCAAGACGAGAATGAATCCGGGAATCCTGAATGAGTATGCCCTGGAGGTTCTGCTCTCCTCTGGGGAGGGGCCCTTAGCGAACAAGGAAAAGAAAGAAAAATATATGAAACCAATTGAGTTGCTCAAGCAGTATTAGAAAAAGAAAAAATCTGTCGTTATTAATATGGTATTCGCATTTTATTATTATACGGTTTAGAGAGAGACACAGGAAGGAAACAAACGCGTCACCTGAACACAGAGCACCCCTTGCTCCTTCTTGGGGACAAGCTTACCTTGGACACTGTCGTCGGGATTGTAAAGGTTGAGATCCCGAAGCTCAACGTCCGCGAAAGCTTCGAAGAAGTCGACTCCTCTGTTATTGCAGAGAAGCTCTGGCTCACCGGCAGTATTCTGAACCATCTCACCAGCGAATGCATAGTAAGACACTAAAGTTTGGGCCAAGGCCTTCTTCAAAACAGAGACCATGGACAGAAACTTCAATGTGAGAGACGAGTCCCCTTCTCTGGCTATGGGCTTTTTGTAACAGAAAAAAACGCCGACGTCATTGGGAGGCAAGAGCAAGTCCAGGTTGGACAGAGGCAGGAAGTGCCCCTGCATTGGCAACATCGCTGCCACCACTTCCTTGTTTCTTACCTTTAAACTGAAGTCTCCTTTACTACCCATTCTTGAGAGAGAGAGAGAGAGAGAGAGAGAGAGAGAGAGAGAGAGAGAGAGGGTGTTATGAATCGGATGATAAGTTCGCCAAGGAGGTTGGCAGCTTTATCGTGCCTTTGATTCTTTATAGCGGGTGGATTTTTTTTGGTAACGAAACACCGCTGATCACGTTACTATGTCCCGTCCCAAACGCTCAATAATAGAGTTTTAGAATTCACACTCGTACCTAGTCAATCTAAGAGTTTTAGAATTCACACATGTACCTAGTCAATCGACGTATTTCAAACGCTCAATAATATAAAAGTTTTAAAATTCATACACGTAACTAGTCAATCTAAGAGTTTTAGAATTCACACACGTACCTAGCCAATCGACGTGTCTCAAACGCTCAATAATAAAAGAGTTTTAGAATTCACACGTGTACTTAATCAATCTAAGGGTTTTAGAATGGACACAGGTACCTAGCAATCCACGTGCGATACTCACAAACACAAACTTTTTTTTTTTTATAGCCAGTGGATTTGATAACATTATTAGCCGTTCACACGTGACTCGTACTTTATACACTTATATTTTATATCAGTTATTCAACGGTCAATACCCAACATCAAATTTACCTTTATAACTAAGTAAACTCCAGCGATCATTGTCTCAGGCCAGACCTCAGGTTTTTGTACGGCCAGAGGATTTGAAGAATTTGCTCCCCTGCACGTGGAGCCCATCTCTTTATTCTAATAGCACTTCCTATTTCTTTATCATAGCCAATCTTAATTACTTATCCTTTCCACAACTTGTCCAAATTTTTTGGACTATTAAATCTGATTTAGTAAAAAAAATCATTTGCAAAGTGGAGTGTTCAGATTATCTTCATATCCTTCCATTATTAGAAATTAAATATTTCTCAATTCAATCAAAAAATTCTCCAATTGAGCATTAGAGTGGGGAAAAATAAAACAATGACAAGTTTGGCTATCAAACCCAACTTTGCCAGTTGTTAGAACCAAGAAGCCAAAGAGTGCCAAAATATCAAAAATGAGAAACAAAATTGCGGCTATTAGATTCGAGAAATACATTTTGCTAGACTAACAGAAATTAGAAAGTAAAAACACGTACAAATACTAAATAAGTCATTACTTTAATTTGGTTTTTGATATTTTGGTTTGGTTTTTTGGTTTTAATACTTTTAAAACCAAATCAAACCAATTTAATTATAAACCAAACTAAATTTAACCTAAAATTTTGATTCAGTTCGGTTTGGTTTGGTTTTAAATTTAATTTTTTATTATTAAAGATACATGTAAATGCATGTATATGTATGTGTGTGTACATGTATATGTGTTTGTATATACATACATATATATATATATATACACACACACACATAACATATATATGCATATATTCATGTATATATATATATTCATATAAATATAAAAATATATACGTATACGTGTACACGTTGTCCTGTTTACAGTTCCGGTCCGGACCATGAACTGGCCCAAACCAGACCAAGAAAAATCAGACTGAACCAGACTGGCAATATCCGATTTAGTCCAGTTCTGAACCGTGAAGGTTTGCGATCCAGTTATAATTCAAGTTTTTTTTAACCAAAACCAGAATCGGAAATGAACTATGAACTGGAATTATGAGTAAACCATGAAGGTGAACCATGAACTAAAACCGTATACCAACCGTGAATAAACCGCAAACGAACCGACCATGAATGAACCGTGAACAAATCATATATGCATAAATATGTAAATACATATATTTATGTATTTATGTATGTATAAATACATGTGTGTGTATTTATATATTTATATACAACATAAATATATGTACATGTACGTATATTTATATTTGTATGGGTATAAATGTATGTATGTTTGTGTGAGTACACACACATATAAATATATATGTGTATATATATACATGTATATATATGTATGTCCTTATATATATATATATCTATATGTATCTATATATTTATATACAATATAATATATATACATATATATATGTATGCATGCATGTATGTACATCTATGTGTGTGTATGTACATACACATATAAGTATATATATGTATATATAGATATATAAATATATATATTTATGTAAATATATGTAGGTGTGTGTATATATTAATACTTTTTATAAAAAAATTTCAAAATTTTGATTTGTGGTTTAAAATGGTTTGGTTATTTTGGATTATTTTTTAAACCAAACAAAATCCAACCAATTTAAAAAAAAAAATAAACCAAATTTTAAAATTTAGTTTAATTTAGTTTAGTTTGGTTAATTGGTTTGGTTTTGCACACTTCTACTAGAAAAGTGAAATTTTCTATGGACATAATTTTGTCAAAATTCTAGTAGATTTTTAGATAGAAAGTCCGTCAAAAAAATCTTTTCAATAGACTTTATTAGATAGACCATTTCTATCATAATTTTGACAAATTTTCTAATAAAATATTTATCAAAAATTAGAAAATAATATTTTTTGATTGATATGAACATTTTTTGACGAATAATATTTGAAAAAATATAATTTTAAAAAAAAATAATTTTGTCATATTTTTTAAAAAATTAAACTACTTTTTAAATAAGTAAATTTTGTTTAAATTTTTTTAAAATCATTAATTACAAAAATAACGTTTCGAGTACCAAACAAACCTACATGCTCATTTCTGAAAGGAGAAATAGTACTTTATCTCCTCAAAAATTTAAATTTTAACACTATACTTCCTAAAAATATATAAAAGAGACTTTTTCCCTATAAATATTAAAATTTATAAAACTTTCTCCCTAGTCAACATTTAAAAAATATTTATTAAAAAATTTATTTTAAAAAAATAAATATTATTTCAATTATAAATGTTGATTGATTTTCTCTCATTTTAACATGTACAGTTATTGTTTATACTTAAAAAGATATTTATACTCTTAAAAATAATATTTTTACGAATATTTTAAAAAGTTATGAAATTTATATTATATTTTAAAAACATAATTTTAGCAATAAAAATAAAATCTCACATCACAAAATAAATTATTAATTTTTCTATAGCTCAAACTTATTAAAATTTTTTATTTTAAAATATTAATCAAAGCTTTTACTTTTAAATAGTATAAATATCTTTTAAATATAAATAATAACTATAAATGTTAAAATTTCATAACTCTTTAATTAAAAAATTATATTTTTTAAAATTTAATATAAATTTCATAACTCTTTAGATATTCGTAAAAAATTTTATTTTTAAGATTATAAGTATCTTTTTAAGCAAAAATAATGATTGCATATGTTGAAATAGATGAAAATTAATCAACATTTATAACTGAAATAATATTTATATTTTTAAAATAAAATTTTTTAATAAATATTTTTATTTAAATATTGACTAAAGGGTAAGTGTTACAAATTTAATATTTATCAAAGGAAAGTCTCTTTTATATGTTTTTAGGGGAATAAGTGTTATAAATTTAATGTTTGTAAAAAAAAATCTCTTTTATATATTTTTAGGGGATAAGTGTTATAAATTTAATATTTGTAAGTGAAAAGTCTCTTTTATGTGTTTATAAGGGGTAAATACTACAAATTTAATATTTGTAAAGAAAAGTTTATTTTATGTATTTTTAGGAGGATAAGTGATTTAAATTTAATATTTATAAGAAGAAAATTCTCTTTATATATTTTTAAAAAATAAATATTAAAATTTAAATTGTTTAGAAGATAATTTACCAAATGATATTTAGAGCACTTCTTATGCTACATATTTAGAGGCTGATGTGGATGGATGTCCATTAAAGCCATGGCGAACACTCCCGTACCTCCCCTAAAATGTGGGGTTTGAAACAATGTCTACGTGGGCCAATCATTATTGGCCACGTGGACCAATTGTTGTTAATTCTAATTAACCCATTCACACGCGATCGTCCCTGTTCTTCGGCCAATAGAGCAACCTAGTTTCTCGATCCTCGGATGCTCTGCGGAACCCGCCAGAGAATCGGTTGTCCTAGAGATAGAGGTTGCACAGGAGCTTCAGATTGGAGAAATCAGCCGAAATCTGGCCAGAGAGGCGGTTGGACTGAAGGCTAAGAGTTCTGAGCTAAGTCAGGTTCCCGATCGTGTTTGCCGAAATTTCACCGACAAGGCTGACAAATGCAAAATAAAAATTATATGTTTCCAAAAAATTTGAAAATAAATGATAAATTTTTTAAATTTATAAAAAAGTATAATTATAAGGTAAATATAAAGAGAAAAATACAAATTATATGAAACATGGCTTATATATTAAGTTGCTAAGCACAGCCAACTTAATATTTAATATATTTATATTGTCCTTAACATAATATGTGCAAATGTTTAGAATTGAATTTGAATATAAAAGGACAACTTAGAATTCTCATTGTGAGCACACAAACCAAAATTTTGGTTGATAGATAAGTTTTATTTTCTGGTTTTTTTTTTGTTTAGATATTTTAAAACAAAATCAAATTAATTTAATTGTAAACCAAATTCAACCAAACCTAAAATTTCAATTCAAACTCGGTTGGATTTTATGTTTGACTTGTTACTATTTGTTAGACAAACAGAAGAGTGCACCATACCCAGCACATCTAAAGCCATGAGCAACTAATCACCACTACCCAACAGCTGTCCAGTACCTCAAGGGCACAAGACCACTAGGCAACACTGAGCCACTCTCTCTCTCTGCTATACCATTCAATCACTACAGCTCTTAGAATCACACGCCTTGTATATAGAATATATATATGAATTATTTATCAAATTCTTATTGTATAAATAGGGAGATGATGTATATTCCAATGGGATTGGATTCACAGCATTCTATAATGACAAAAAATATTTTGCTCAAATTCTTCCCTCTGCCTTTTATTCTTACCATTCTCTATTCTCTTACATTTCACATGGTAAAAGAGCCATCATTGGCTCTAACTAGTATCTGATACTCTTCCTCTTGTTCCTACTTTCCTATCCTTGAATCTGA